AAAAAAATTCTAAAAACATATAATTTAGTTAAAATTTATGGCATCGATTTGCTGGGAGTTATTTGCCAAGTAATTTTGTAACTTTGATATAAACACACATTCCATTGCAAAATGGCTTCATTACTGCTATGAGAAATTCACTTAAGTTTTGGTAAACTGTCTAATTTAGTAAATTCAGCAAATTGGTTTCTGCTTCTACCTCTTTTATCTCTTCTCATTTTTGTCTTCTTAAAGCTAACAAATAGGCCCTTTCACTTTCCAGAACACCTAATGTTAAGAGAGCTCAATTGGTTTGAAACATGCTGTTAGACTATAGAAAATTAGATAATCTATTCCTTAATTTCCTAAACTTATTCAGATATGTTTCAGCAACAGTAATATTTACAGATAAACACTCATAGTGTATATAGTTCATCTAGCTTTCTGAGCAGGCTAAAATCTCTCCTTAGGCCTAAGCCAGAATACCCAAAGATTTTCTTTTTGAATCATTTTTCCATGGGGACTCACAAAATAGCCTTCATTGAGATGTAAAATTACACTTTGCTTTTGGCTTTTATTCAAAGACACTAAGTAAGTGCCTTATAAAATCACTGCACCTGTTATAGGAATATTATCCACCATAACACTCATTTTTTTCCCCTAAAAATTACCATAAGATAAATTTTTGAATTGTTTTGGGGTCAAAGAACTTCATTTTGCCTCAGTAATGCTGCTTTTAAAATGATAAAAACAATGTAACTAATTATTGAGGTATTCCTTTTCATTCTGGCTACCCAGAAAATCACTACTAAGTTTGATGCTCATATATAAGTGTACTGATATTGCAGTATTTGCAATATATTTTAAAATCTTGTTTTTCTAAACTACTTACGTTTTCTTTTTTAAAAAATTTAGTTTTGTTTAACTGTTTGTATGTTATCTCAGAGTAAAATGAATCAGTAAATGAGAAGTTAGCCTGTCCCCCAGTAGCAGTTCTCTTCCTCCCTAATTATAACTTTTTTTCATTTTAGCACTACTGAGAATAAAGACAATCTGCAGTCCTACTTCAGAAAAGGTGAGGTCAAGTGACTAATTCTGGCCAATGTGAGGGAAGCAGGGTGATTGTGCAACCTTTCTTGCTGTCCCCTCCTACTTGTCAGCTGGAATAAACTCAATGGCTGGTGGCCTGGTATCTAAGACCACACAGGGAAGAGAAACAAGGAAGAAGTCTGTCCCTGACACTTGAAATGCTGTACCAGACTCCAACTCTCTAGGGTTCTAAAATGTAAGAAAGAAAGACAGAACTTCAATCTTTTTCTGTTAAGCTGCTGATTTTCTTTTCTTTTATAGTAGTATTTAATGTTAGTGAATATTGATAGATTATTAAATCAGTAGATAAAAGGTTTTGAGAGTGAGTCAAATATTAATAATACTGACTTTAATTTAAATGACACCATAATACCTGAGTGAAAAGTGAAAATTCAATCAAACCTTTAATGTTATGTATACAATATCACTCGTCTTGATAATTACAGATATTTGTATATTTCAAAGTATGTAATTAAAATTCTAGACAATTGGCAGAATTGGCTAGTTTTCCTTTAATTGTTTGGATAAAATATAGACATTGTCAATGACTATGGATTGCACAAATACTTTGAAGTAGGTCCTGAGGTCATTAGAATCAAAATGAATTAAAAGAATTCCAAAATAAATATCAAATTCAGGGAGAATGTAAAAAAGATTAGGAAGTTCTAAAATTAATACAGCCTTGGATATCTGTATTGTGTTACAAATGATGGCAACAGAAAGCATGCACTTATTTCCTTACGTGCAGCTCATTCATTTCTAGACTTCATGTATCTATCAACTGGCAAACCAACTGAAAGAGGATTCATGGAAGATCTTATTTGACTGGCTCTTCTACCAATAATTTTGGGCCATACGCATCCTCTATTTTTTAGTACCTTCAAAATTTAACAAATCTGTTATGTTTAGTAGTATTAATCACGAGGAAGTTGAATAACACTCTTGAGGTAGGTCACACTTGAATTAAGAACTTAACTGTACTGCATAGCTAAATGATAGATGTGACAATAATATCCCAATGTATACTTTGATATGAACTATCAGTCATTCTTTTTCATTTTTACTCATATCTCTTTAGAGTGATTGTTCAATATGTCAAATTGTTATATTTCCTTAGTATGCTAAATTTTTTTCTAGAAATGATTTTAATTCTACCTTTATAAGTAAAACCCTAGGCAAATGGATCCCTTTC